GACTCGCAGCCCGTTCAGCAGCCTGGTCTGCAACGGGTTCATCTGTCTGTCGCTGCCTGTTTTGTAACATGTAAACTGTTAATCCGGATGATTTCCTCACTACTGATGTGGTTTTGTTTCTGCATCAGGTGGATTTATTCTGCTGGATGGAGAGACCTTCGAGATCAAGGGGAACTGGGAGACAGGGGACAAGATCCCCCCAATGGGGTATGACTTCTGGTACCAGCCACGCCATAACGTCCTGATCAGCACTGAATGGGGAATCCCAAAATGCCTGGGATACGGGTTTGACCCAAATGACCTGAAGAAAGGTGAGAACACTGCTGTTTAAATGCTCTGGGAGAGGGATGCTGAGCAGGACTGCGAGAAGGCCAAATTTCAACCTCTGCTGGTGCTCATGAGAGCTGGCAGCCTAACGGACGTAGATAAAATTGTCCAAAACAGATTGCTTGCAAAATGTATTTCACACCAATTCCCAGACATCACGTGGACTTAAAGGCCCATTTACTGTGAACACACTTCAGCTGCAAGCACCAGAAGTTCAGCCCAAGACAGTCCATAAACTCTGGGCGACCTGTACGTGGGGCTGGATTTCGGCTGTAGGGATGAAGGATGAAGCCCCCTCTCAGCCCAGCTCCCCCCAAAGGTTACACTGCCCTTCCCAGCCCCCTGCTAGCGAGACGGTCCCTGCTGGATGCCCGTGGCTCTTGCCAAGGCCCAAAGCACCCGGCGTGTGCTGGTGCAGAGACCACGGCGTTGTCCCTGCGGGGAGGTAAAGGGGCTGAGGACTCACCCGAACCCGTAGCACATCTCCCCGAGACCCCGCGCCTCGCAGCATCCCCTCTCACCCTCCCTCCCAGGGCGCTACGGACGCCGCCTCAACGTGTGGGACTGGACCACTCACACCTACATCCAGGCCATCGACGTGGGCGAGGACGCGGCCCCCCTGGAGATCCGCTTCCTCCACAACCCCGACGCTGCCGAGGGCTACGTGGGCTGCACCATCAGCAGCGCCATCCACCGCTTCTACAAGACCGAGGTACGCGCTTGCCCAGGGCTGGTGGAAGAGGGGTGCTGCCCCTGGGCTGAACAAGCTGCACGACTCCGCGCAGTGACCCGCTTCCCGCATCCCCCACCGGCCTCCCAGCCCGACTCCAGTCCCTCCCGATGCCACACCACCTCCCCGTGCTGTGCAGCCGCCTCTCTGCACCCAGAACATGAGCTGGCTTGGGGTTTTCTCACCAGAGGACTTGTTCTGACTGGCAGCAGTTTAGGCTGAAATGACTTAATTTAAAGGAGATTTATTTACACCTTTGTTGTGGATTTACAACAGCCCAAGCAATGTTCTTCTCGGTGTCTGTTGTTGTGCTAATGACGAACTGGATGACGAGAGAGAACATCTTTCACCAAACCAGCTCATCTAGCTGGACAATTAGACACGTTTTTGGCCCCCAAAGCCCTTCCTCAGGTCCCAGAGCCCATCCTCCCCGTGGCTCTGCAGAGGCAGACATGGCTGGCAAAGTAGCTGAGCACACAGCACCCGCCCCGGCATCGGGCCTTATCCTGCCTCTGCCACGCACGCTGAGCCCCCCCGGGGCTGTGCTCTGTCCCGCACCTCCTGCAGCAGGGAGACTGGGCGGCCGAGAAGGTGATCCAAGTCCCCAGCAAGAAGGTGGAGGGATGGCTCCTCCCGGACATGCCAGGTCAGTGCATCCCCGGGCCGGGTGCCGAGGTGCTCCCCAGCTTCCCCGGGCGCTGCCGGTGCTGCCGCCTCCGTGTGCAGCTCTGTTGTACCCTCCCCAAGGCTTCATCACCGACATCCTCATCTCGCTGGACGACAGGTTCCTGTACTTCAGCAACTGGCTGCACGGAGACATCCGCCAGTACGACATCTCCAACACCCGCAGGCCCAAGCTGGTGGGACAGGTGAGGCCGCAGCAGGCTCCCAGTCGCACCCGACGCTTTTCCTCCGTCTCTTGGGGATGGCTGGGATCAGCCCCATCCTCGCTGTCTCGGCCACCCGGACCTTTGGTCTCTTGCAGGTCTTCGTGGGTGGCAGCATCACCAAAGGAGGACCCGTGACCGTGTGCAGGGACGAAGAGCTGCAGAGCCAGCCAGAGCCATTTGTCATCAAGGTGAGCTCGGCCGTCTCCCCAAAATCCCACGGGATCACCCCCACCACCATCTGCTCGGTCCCACCTCCGCCTTGAGCGATGCTGGTGGGGGCACGGTGACGTGGAGCATGCCGGGTGGTGGCGGCAAGGCCGGGGAGCAGGTCCTTGGGCTCCTGCTCCGCTGCATCCCGTGGGATGGGCACAGCAGCCCGCACCGCCGGGCTGGGGGAAGCGGAGGCGTCCCCCGGTCCAGCGCGCTCCCGCAGCACGTCTGCTCCTCCGCCCGCTCCCAGGGGACGAGGGTGCAGGGGGGACCCCAGATGATCCAGCTCAGCCTGGATGGGAAGAGGCTGTACGTCACCACCTCCCTCTACAGCGCCTGGGACAGGCAGTTCTACCCCGACCTGGTCAAGTAAGAGAACTTTATCAGATAACGAGGGCGTTGTAGGCGCTCGTCAGGCGGGGGCGCGGGCCCCGCGCCTCGGGGACCGCATTGTGGCAGCTCCTTGGAGGCAGCGATGGCGGGGACGCCCGGCTCCCCCCAGCCTCCCCGCTCTCGCCCCTCCGCAGGGACGGCTCCGTCATGCTGCAGCTGGACGTGGACACGGAGCGGGGCGGCCTGACGGTCAACAGCAGCTTCCTGGTGGATTTTGGGAAGGAGCCCGACGGGCCCTGCCTGGCGCACGAGATCCGCTACCCCGGCGGGGACTGCACCTCCGATATCTGGGTTTAGCCACCCAAAGCCTCTCCGCACCCCAAAATCCCAGTGCACGAGGCCTTCAGGAGTTTCACGCGCTCAGCAAACCACCGGTGACCCGTGCAGCCCGCGCTTGCTTAAATAAAACCGAGAGGTTGTCGTCCTCCTCCTCCGCAGCAGCAGCAGCCGCAGCAGCCGCAGCTCTCCCCGCTTCCAATCTTGCTTCTCAGGCCTTTTCACG